AAAATCCCCGCACGCTCCCTGCACGCCCCAGTTGTGTGTTATTCATTCTTTAAATTGTTTCACATCCACGCACGCCCTACGTCATCAAATATCAAAACCACAATTTTACTTTCACACATTTTTATCAATGTGTGGTTTGTATGATAATATATCATATATTTCAATCATTTCTATCTGTCTTCATTCATTTATTATCTATAAATCATGTCTATAACTAGATGTCACATGAAAGATATTATATGTCATGTCTTTTGATGAAAGTGACTTGAAATCTATAGATAAATCTACTTTTAATAATCAGAATACAGAGTATAGTAATGCAGTACATTTAATAATAATTAAATATAATATAATAATAATTTAAACATAATAGCTACATTTCATCAGTTTTTCGAACTACTTTGTGTTACAAAGTCCGTCACGAAGCGTTGAGACGGATTTGAGATGCCAGAATTGTATAACCAGATTAAGGAATGCAAAAGCAAAAATACAAAACGATATGAGTCAATACTGAATAATATCACTTTAATTTATATAATACAAGAGAAAGAAAACTGACCATTCAGACATACGTTTATGTTCTTCTAAATCTGACAAGGGAACTATGTATGATTTTTCCCCGACAACATATCTTCGTCATCATCACGTCCCGGGTCAACTTTCTTTTGATTTCATGCCTTCATGATTTATCAGCCATTCACTTATATCAACGTATGATGAAGCCTTATTGCAGAACCCTTGAGGTATTCTGAAAAATTATTTTTATATACTCAACTTTATTAACTTTAATGCATTACTTTTTTCGCAATAGTAATATATTACGTGCATTAAAAATGTAATAACATACGTATCATTTTGAACATGTATCACTTTAATGTTCTGTAAAAGTACATAAAACAGGTTGTAAATACACCGCATATATTGTTGATAATAGAGCATCGCATAATTTACAATCTTCTTATTTTTATGGACAACAACTATTTGATATATGAAAAAGGGTTCACACAAGGCAGCAAACTTATTGCGTGCTGTGAATAATTTAACAAATAATTAAATATTTTAGCACCATAAACGGAATAGTTGTTTAATATTGCAATAAGAATGATAAAAGTTTAAACTATATAGGAAACACAATAGAAGAGTGTCTCTATATGTATAATTTTATAAAAGGCTTGAAACTTTTATATCAATCAGTATATAAATGTAGTATCAATATGAGTTCGTTTATTGGATATTACAACTTTTTGTAGTAGGAATCTTTAATTACTGCGCTATAGTTTCCGATATTACTCGACGTTAAAAAATATAGTTAAATGCATTATGATTACAATAATGTAAAAAATGTATGTTATTTCAATATGTCTGTGAAATACGTTTAAGTCTTACTATTTAATAGTTTTTTGTGTTTAAAATTATTTTTTGTCCAATCGGATTGCAGTATTTCAAATGAATCGTAACACATTTATTTTGGTGAATTGTTAATCAGTATAGTAAATCGACTGTTTTTATAAAAAATAATTTAAAATACTAAGCTGGTTAAAAAATTTTTAAAGTACGTTATTTATAAAATTAAATTGGTCAACTGACCAATTTAATTTCGTAAATAGTACTAATAAACTTTCACCTATATGTATTGCAAAGCGTCAATTAAAGACTCCTTATCATCATATGTCGCAGCTAAGATGACGAAATGTCAAATGTACGGAATACCGTTAGGGCCATCGTGGTTATACTTTATGATCAAGAGGGCAACAATGTTATAGCTTATGAAAGCTTTTGTAGGTAAAGTTTCATTTGTTGTTATATTTCTTGTTTCAAAGCGTTAAGTACCGTGAACTAAGAAGTGTTTTTTTTTTACAGTTTAAGACCTAATACCGTATGTGTGACACGTGACTATCAATGACAACTTGGCAGCGCCTTCTCATGCTCCCTATTGGTTTCTGTTCGTTCTAAGGGGTATGGCCGCCCATTCTTGTACCATCATGGCTCCAAGCTCCTGGATGGTTCTGGGTTGCAGCTGACGAGCTGAAATTCTAACCGGCAGCTCATGTGTTCTATTGTATATATAAGTCAAGTGAACGAGCTGGCGAGTCCATGGGCTCAATAGATTCCCTTTCTAGGTAGTCCTGGACCACCCTGGCCATATGGGACGAGAATTATCGTTCATTAGAATGAACTGATCGTCGACTGTTCCAGCATGCAACCTAACCTTGTTGTCTAAGATGTCGTCAATGTCTCTGACCTGTCAAGGTACCTCTATTTAGCACAACTAGGTCGGTTCGTCCATCCCAGCTGATGCATCCCCACATCATAACTGACCCACCCCGTAGCGGTCATGCTCACTAATATTTGCAGTCTGAAACGGTTCACTTCGTCTTCTCCAGACTCTACAGACTCTATTACGCCTACCTGTGGAGTCATAGCAGAACCTGAACTCATCAGTGAACAGAACGTGTCTCCAGTGTTGCACGGTCCACCGTGTATGCGGGCCTGGCGATGTCGACGCGTCAATGGGATACGTATGCAAGGTCTTCTCGACCGCAAATTTCCTTCATGAAGCCTTCTACGTACCGACTACGTGGAAACACGGACCCCCGCATCATTAGCATGGTCATTTCGAAGAGAATTTGCTTTCAAAAATCTTGCACAACGTGCCAGAACGACCAAAAACCGATCCTAAGCTGGTGCTGTGACCCTCTGCCGACCTACAGCATGCCTCCTGGCGGGTGTACCATGTAGCCGGTATCGATCCCAGGCTCTGGTGATGACGGTATGGTGTACATGTCTCCAGATTCCTGCTAATTCTAATAAAAATTAAAGGTAAACTATTTTGAAGTGAACAAAGAAAATAATTTGCTCGTTGCAAGCTTTGGCAATCCATGTTATTACAAAAAAAAGGCCAAAATAAGCACAAATAGCCATTACTGCGTTAGTAACGCAGTATAGACATATGGTGATAAATACTGCAAAATCAGTCCTTAGTCGCACATTTTAACATATAAAATTATTACTTTTCTTAAAATCTCAGTTTTCTCAAGGTTAATTTTCTGAGAATATTTTGGCTCATCTGGAGGCATGCAGCTTTAAAGGTTCTAGTAGCAACATGCGGTTACTGTATTATTGTATAGAAGTATTTGGCGAATTTATGGGTTTGGGTAGTAATTGGGTAATTTGAGTGTATTTGGGTAAAAAAGTTTGACTTATATAATGCCAAGCACTTACTTTTAAATAACTAATACGTATAATTCAAATATCATTTTTGTTCGGCTATAATTCATCCAAAAAACTCCCTTTGCTAACATGCAAAAATATGTAAAATGTAAAATAAGATCTAAATTTGATTTATTACCATGTCAAATGTACAGCGTGAAGCAAAACATTAACATAATCAATTGCCAAAAAAATATATGTGTAAGACTAAAGATCAAAGACATGTGCAATTTTATAGATGTACTTTACATAATTTTATTACTTTTAAATGGTAGTAAAATTAAACGAAAAAAGAGAGTAGTGAACATTGAAATACCCAACATCAAAAATTTGATTTGGTGTGCGTTAGGTAAGGAGGCTAACAAATATGTCAAAACTGGTAGAACGTCTGGTCCAAGGGAAATCACTTTGGTTCACAAGTTAAATAGAGGCGTTGAAAGTTATCGAAGGTTCTATCGTACTTATTTGAAATAAATATGGCCGCGTGCATTGCATTATTAAATTATACTCACCACTACAGATTTCACCATTTTAGGTAGTAGGTGTATATGTATTAGTTATGTCAGTTCAGTAGTGGTAGTAAGTAGTAGCAGCAACAATCAGTAGTGGCAGATGCAAAGAGAGATGCAAATTTTTTTTGTTGATTTGTACTTCAATAATGTACAGCTAGAATTGAAGATTTCGGTTGTTGTATTTTTTTTAAATAAATTTACATGTAATGGTTTATTTTATATGACTTCAGTACTGAATTAAATGTGACCAAGCAAGAACAGGCGTTTCGGTATGGCATAATTTCTCGAAATTTGATTTGATATATTAGCTTTTTGTCTGTTGATACATTCGTGTTGGACTAAGTTGATATATAGTACTATTGCACATGCTATAATTGAATATAATGTAATAACAAGCAAGGTATTTTACGCACGCAAGAAATGGCTTGGTCAGCTGTGCACTGCATACCTTTAGAAGAGCAGAATAATATGCTAAATAAGAGGAAGCGTTACACCACAATAAAGCATAAGTCTATTTCAAAATCATATAAATATGTTGAATACATGATCAAATAAGACCTTCATCCCTAAAGTGATCCAGTTGATATCATATACGTTGTATTGTTAGTTTAAACCTATAGTTGCATTCAAGATTTTGTACATGTGCCATACTTATGTATGTTCCATAGCAATGAAAATCACGGGTTTTTTTTATAGTCCTGGAACTTACGGGTAACATGTAAAATATGGCCTTGATCCCTGGGTAAATGGCACTAGACAGCCTCTATCCGCAATAGAGCTTGTAATTTTCTTTAGTATGTATTACTAACATTTATTTTTGTAAGACAGAAGTAATAATAGATTAAACTAAAACGTTTTTAATATATCTTTATTGAATAAAACTTGTAAAATAGCACATTACATATAACAGATATGCAATAACATATTTACAACAGACAAGACATATGACACGGATTACATATATTGTCGGACAGTCCATTACAGATATATGATATGCTATAACATAATTACAAGAGACATGACGGATTACACATATAAGATGGCAATAGTGAAAGCACTAGCAAAATAGATTTACAATAACATACATTGTATATACAAGAGACATGACAATTTACATATAACATAGCGCATAACAAAACAGAGACAATTACAAAAGACATGACAAAAAACATACAATAACATTTATAATGCATAATATACATGTACATAAATGGCATAAACATATAGCACATCCATTATTATTTATATATTACATCAATTACAGAACATTACGCACACAGAACATATTCAACACCATATTTACAACAAATCATACATGTAGAACTGGCAATAGTGAAAGCACTAGCAATATCCAGAAAATTACAGAATATTCTCAAATATTTCTAAAGCACATATGAAATGAAGGACTTATCTTAACATTCGTAGTACAAATAACTCCGAAGAAAAAAATAGTCCTTACAGCACGAGCAGTCATGTAAGTAACACGCTACTGAAAACATACTTTTTTAAAAACATTTTTCTTCGGGGTGTACAAAAGAAAAGTTTTGTATGCAAAGGAAGCTGATATAAATCATATCATAGACATGTCGCTTGAGGCTATTACGGAAAATTACACATATTCAGTTAGAAATCGTTTTAGCTATTACCAAAATGCATTGTCGGGCTTTACATAAACATATGCATGAACATTATATCTTATTTTGCACTAAAAACTTGTTAGAGCATGATCGTAAGGTCCGAGGACTAAAATTAGTGTAACACCCAACAATAAAAATGCTCAAAGTCTCTGCACTGTCTATTCCACTACTTCACTCAGTGTAGATATTTCCGGTTTTGTTACCGTCCAGTTCCGGTGATGTCATTGACTTCCCTCAGTAGCCCGGATGTCGTTATATTATGTTTCGCATAATCATTCCATACACGGCTCAGTTCTTTGTTTATCTGCACATATTTCTTTCTTTGGTATCTTGAAGTCATGTGCTCGCTCACACAACGTATCTCGTAATCCACCCATCTGGCTTCTTTAAACAGTAGTTCAGTAAGGTCATACACTGGGAGTTTGAACCATCCAGCCCTACCAGTGATTCTGCTATGCCACCCTGAAAAATGAAAAATGTGGAATAAGATATGTTAAACATAAAAAATATGCATTTGGCGGGAACTGAAGGTATCTGGATCAACATGATCGAACAATAGCGAATTCAGAAATTAACCCCAGTTGTAAAAATACTTGTAAAATAGTCTACCCAGTCATGCCTCAAGTGGTAAAATTTTGTGTAGCGTTTTATGGAAGTCAAACTGTCAGTAATTATTTCACATTATTTCACATAAAATATAAGGTCATAAGCATATACACTGATTACAGCATTAAAGAATTTAAACACATTATTTAAAAACGAAAGAAAATACTCCTTTCTCATTGAGTTAATCAGCCAATAACAAATTTCAAATTTTGAAATCACAATGTAAACTAACATTAAAGGTTACCTACCCTTCACATCATTGTTAGTACGAACTTGTTGACCATAGACCGACCAGTTCTCGGGACCCCATTGCGCACTAGAAATCCAGGCGGTGTCAATGTAAGAAATAACACGTTTCACGGGTTCTGTGGCACCGGCTGCAAACTCTCGCAGTTTCTCGAAGGATGGCTTGATATGCCCCGTCGGTAAGTATGGAAGACACATGAAATTGCGTAGACAACGGTAGATACCCTCCTTCTTCTTGTACTCTGCTGATAACCCTGCTTTCTGGATCTGTCTGTAAACTTGTGTTGACCATTGGAAGTTACAGCCCTTCATAATTTTACCCGGAAATATCTGTCGTACAGCTTCCCATATATCTGAAATACAGAAAATGAAATTGCCTATTGTTTATTGTTGTTGGGTGAACAGCTATGAGAGGTGACGTCATCAAGACAGGACGTATACGTATATGAATATTCGACGGTTCGACCATGTACGGAGGGCCATGGAAGCTTCGTCATATTGCAAATTTCATGAATAGTTTTTGCATAACTTTACCTCTTTCAAAGAAAATATGTCAGTTATGTTTAGTCCAAGTATTACACCACTAATTGAATAAATTTATGTTACTTTACACTACATAGAAATTGAAAAGAAAATTCAAATCAGTGACGGCCTCTAATTAAATTGAGGTGCAGATGTATAATACATGTATGCTCGATGAAGCGTATTGCACATCCTCCTTTATGTTAAAAGTTAAAAATAAAATAAAATTGTTTTTACTTGTATTACTGGACTATTTTTCGCTTGATTATCTATCCAATACTTAAGCGTAAAACATGTAACTGTTTTCCATTTGATCCCCACATATCTATTTATTAACATAATTATTGGAATGTCTGTTGTAACAAATGTAACCTTGATGAAATAAGAGAATATTGTATTATTATTATTATTATAGGTATGTAACGAAACCTACCGGCATCAAAATCGAGCATAAAAGCTTCCACCTGTGGTTGACCCAAATGTTCTTTCAAACAAGTTAGTACCTGGAAAAAAATGATAATTGTTTTCTACAAAAGTACAAATGAAATATCCATTTAGTCAACAAGTAAAGTCAAAGACAATTTTTTTTAACTATTATGATATTTTGACTGGACTTGGTCATTTCCATAAAAATCTGTAAAAAAAAATGAAAACGTGACTAGATGTGGTGATTTTATATGGAAATGAATGGGGTTAAATTGGTCAGTTGGATACGGTTTAAATTGAGATCAAAATTGATCAGCTACTTATAAAAATAAAAAAGATGTATCTAGACAATACAATATCAATTTAGTTCATGAATTGTGGAAAGTACGTTAGACGTACAACGTCACTCCAATATTAATACAAATGCAATACTCAAAATATGCATTGTATATATCGGCCTACAAAATAGAGTATAAAGAATCCCTAAAGAGAGCCAAACACGCCGAAATTGAAAATGTTGCAGGCTCGGTTTTAGCCTGTTCATGAACACTTACTCTCAAATATTATGTCGAAACTGCTATAGAAATGCCGATGCTAAGTCATGTCAGGCTTTGTTAGAATTGGCTCGAATGGAATGTTTTGAAACGCACTCGATGTTATTACGAAAACTCCCTTTCTGATAATAATCTAAGGATCCTGTATGGTTTATTGTGATAATGGTGTTACATACCTTGATATAATCACTCCTGCGTCTCCTTGACAACAACATATACACAATCGGCACCTGTTTAGAATTGTCACCCGACCTCACAAAACGATGTATGGTGATCAACTGAACAAACGGGTGTGAAACCATCTTATATGTTCCCCCAATGAACCAATTACGGGACTCACGGATGAGTTTCAATTGGTCTTTCTTCACGAAGATTAAATGGCGCATACCTTCGAACTTGATGTCATCTAAAATAAACTGTTCACCAAAGTCCTTCTCTATCTGAAATGTAACAAAAATATGATCATGTTAAAATATACGATTTCACTTTAGTTTGCAGATTATACAGAATTGTCTATGAACATTACTCGCTTTAAAGCCTTTCGTACTGCCCAAAACAATCCGTCTGTTATAAACAGGTGTCTAACATATGTGATACTTCTATAAAAAAAATTCTCGGCAATTTTTGCATAACCCAGTGTTCTGGTTATATTCACAATAAATTCGTAATGACATGAGGCACTAATCCTATTTTACATACAAAATGATGGTAATTAAACATAAAAAGCAATGAAATTTAAATCGTAAGAAAAACAAGCAATTATCGTAGTATTGCAAACAATCCATAAGTCCCCTACCGGTTAGAACACCAGCAACATTCTGAAGGGTCATTGGTCATATATAATTATGCCATTGAATGAATAAATGACATGAATAAAATTAAATCTTTTGAGTTCTTAGTTTGTCTGTATCAAAGTAATGTGATAAGTTTCCCTTATTATGTTTATAGAACAGATAATCAGAAGAACTAACTTTCTCAGGATGAATATGTATAACTGATGTTTCAACTTCTATTTTAAATATTAAATTTGTTGGAAAAATTCCAATGTCTTTAAAAGTGAACTCAGGAAACAGCTTTTAGAAACGGACAGACAAACTAACTGAGAGTAAATCTTTTAACATGCGTGGGATTTACCAGAATATAACATTTTTAAAAGCAAAATTCTTAAACTAAGAGGAAATAACTCTTGAAATAAAGATGCTAGACTAAGATTATCATACATGGTGTGAGTGTAACAAAGAACAATTACCTAAAGTTTAAAGACGATACCATTTATAGTCATAAAGAAGAAAAATGAAAAATTACAATTTATGGTATTAAAGAATAAAATAAAAAGAAGGAAATTTCAAGTAAATTTCAAGCATGAAAACCCACTAATCGAATCACATATGAAGTAGCTGTTGAATGTCTTTTTTATGTCTGCAAGTAAATCCATGGAGAAGAATGAGTAAGAAAAGGGGAGATAATTCTGGAAATATGGACTCTAGATTTATGACCCTTGTCATAATATTACGATGTTTAGGGGCGGTAATTCTGGTCATTTTTAAGCTAGAGTTATAAACATTGTCACATATAATGTAGTTGATGATCAGAAACATAATATTATTCAATGTTTGAATACCTTCAGAAATGAACCCATCTATCCATATATCAAGTTTCGTAAAAATATATATTCAGCACTTTTGCGTTATCGCGGGACGGACGGACAGGCGGTAAAAGTCCCCTCGGTTAAATCGTACAACATACAGGATCTTTAACATTTATAATTTTATTGTTTTTCTACTGTACACGATGTCACAAAAGAGCAAAACACGTACCTCAAAGTCAAGGTCTGTAAAATCTTCAAAATAATCTGAGGAGTCGAATATATCCGACATGTCCATAACAGGCTCCCGAACATTGCTGTCCTTTTCGTCGGGTGTTTCTTGATCGCTGCTGTCCTTTTCGGACGTTGACTCTTCAACACTACTGTCTTTTACGTTGGCTGACTCACTACATTTCACGCATTTCCATTCAAGCTGAAGTTCACCTTTACACATAAGACGATAGTCCTGTAGGGAAATACCTATAAATGAAAAAAAAAATGAAATATGAATAACAAAACTTAGTACAAAAAGGAAAATACACCAAGTTAGTGATCATAAATATTTGCAATACATGTTTAAATGTTCATGCATTCTGTATAAAAATGAGCCAAAATATTTCTCCTGCCATTCCAAATTGTCTCCCATTATAATTGTTTTTTTTTGCGTTTTGTAGATAAAAAAAATCATACCATCATACAAAAGTGTCATATGCGTCCTGCTTTTATTTGAAAACATGACAACTGTCTCATCAAAACATTTTTTGTTTTTTTAAAGTATGATATTGACAACAAAATATGATATTTGAATATGGTACAAAGATGATATTCAAGGATTTATTTTCATCGAATGGTATGAAAATACATTTTTCATGAGTGGCGGTAACCACAAGTGAATATGGTAATTTTCATACCACAAGATTGAAATATATCCTGTATTGATAGAAAAAACATGAATTTTCTGTTTATTATATACATTTTTTTTATTTTGAAATACGAAATTATTTTAATACGAAAATCATGTTTCACTGCAGTGAAAATACGTTAAATGAAAATTCTATTTCATCAATATTTCATTTATAAGTATGTAACAATAATATATATATATATATACATTTCATTTACGTGCCAGAAATAGTATTAACAAAATGATAATCTTAGCAACCAATCATTAATCATTTCATTTTGTCTTGTGCATGCACAAAAAATGATACAAAATATTAATCAATACAATATATTTAAATTACAAAATTGTAATATGTATAATAAGCATTTTAATAAAATGCGAAGTAAACATTTATATGCCACTATTGAAAATGTTTTTTGTTGGGTTTTTTTTTTTTTCGAATCAATAATAGATATTGTTGAGATTAAACAATATGAAGAAGAAGATGAAGAAGAAGAAGAAGAACGTTTATTTCACTTAAACTACAAGTTTCTCGTGATTAACATATATACAAGCATACATATATAATGACATAAAAAATACAATGGCATGAAAGTAAACATAATAATTGGATGGACGAAACAAAATAGAGATGACAATTTTGATTAAAGCAAAATGGCTATTACATACACAGTAGTATACACAATAAAACTTTTCGTTAGTTTGGACCTGTTAGGTATACATAAAAGTAGGTTGAAATACATATCTAAGCATTAATAATCGTAATTTGAAAGCTTCATTAATATATTGACAAAGCATAATTGTTTCTTTATTTTCTTTATCACTTTATAATAATTGAGTAAACTTAAACATACTTGGTCTATTTCTATAATAATTCATAATATATATTTTTCTTAAATTTTCATATGCAGGACTCTTAAACACAAAATGGAACTCGTCCTCAATTTCATTTGTATTGCAAATTAAACAATATCTTAAATTTCGCTCTACTCTTTCACGTGAATATCTACCTGTCTGTATTCTAAGATTATGAGCTGAAATACGCAGTTTTGTCAAAGCTATTCTTAGTTTTCTTGACACAATATTTTCTAAATAAGGTGACATTTCAAAACTGTCCTTTACTGATTTATATAAAAATAAAACATCATTACAATTAATACTAGCTCTCCATTCTTGTAAATATTCATCTATTAATCTCTGTTTAAAAACGACAATAAAACAATTTTAATTAACGCTTAAAGGGTTTAACCATACATAAAAAAAACGTATTTTTCTAAAAGATTTCGTACAATTTGCAAACCAGTTTGTATACCCTATATTTATATCAGACATACATGAATTAACAATTGTAGTTATAATAATATTACTTGAACTTATTATCTTAAACCAAAATTTTACAATTCGAACATATCTGTTTATCTACAACGGATATCTTCCAAGTTCACCATACACAGCTACGTTACTAGTAGATTTTCTAACACCAAGAATAGTTTTACAAAATTTCCTGTATAATTCAATGTAACACCTAGATAATTAAAATCATTTACAATTTCTATATTATCTTGACCATATAACCATTTTTCTCCTGCTCTTAAACCACCTCTCTTACGAAAAACTACGATTTTGGTTTTGTTTACATTAACTTCTAATCCCCATTTATTGCAGTATTCATGAAGCTTATTTAAAGAATTTTGAGGATTTTCATCAATTAATACCATATCATCAGCAAACAAAAGTAAAATTAGGCAAATGTTTTGAAGATCTATACCAGAATTTAAGTGATTTTGCAAATAAAGTTCTAGATCTTCAATAAACAAGGAAAACATAACTGGCGAAATTATCTCCCCTTGACGTAATCCAATCGAAATATCAAAAAAATCAGAATAGTTACCACAGGACTTAACACAAGATTTAACAGAGCTATACATACTTCTTATTATTCTTAATAATTTACCATTCAAACCAGCATAATACATCTTAAACCAAAGTGCATTCCTGTATATAGATTCAAAACAGCGTTTTAAATCAATAAAAGCACAATACAATCTTTTATTCTGGTTCAAATATTTTTCAATTATAGAATGCAGTATAAAAACAGCTTCTGTAGTCGAACTACCTTTTTTAAAACCAAACTGTGCATCAGAGATAATATTATTTTCATCACACCATTTAGTTATTCTTTGATTTAAAATACTAGTAAACAATTTACCAAGATGACTTAATAAAGTTATTCCTCTGTAATTTTGTACATTTTCTTTATTTCCTTTTTTATGTAATGGTATAATACAACCTCTTGTCCAGATTTCGGGGAAATTGCCAGATTCTAAAATATTGTTAAATAGCTCTGTTATATGTCCAGACAAAATATCACTTGCTTCTATAAAATATTCGTTTAAAAGATTATCTATCCCCGCCGCTTTATTTCGTTTAAGCATAGAAATTGCCTTAAGTACTTCCTGTAAAGTAATATTTCCATCTAATTCAGAAAAAACAGGGTTAAAATCATTAAAATCATGGACATTGTTAAAATCTTCTGCTCTTTCATTCAAGGAAAAATTTACTTCAGAGAACATAGTTTCAAAATATGTTTTAAAATCGTGCAAAGGTATTTCACAATTATTACGTCCCTGTTTCTTTTTAAAATAGCGCCAAAAATCACGTGGTTTACTCTTTTTTAAATTTTCAAATTTTTTAGTTTGTTGCCATTTAAAAGAACGACGTTTTTTCTTAACAACATATTTATACCTAGATTTACGTTGAACTAATTCTAATCTATCAGTCTCTGTGGCGTGTAGTTAGAATTAACAATTGATAGAATTAACAATGAAAGTTATGATAAGTTATATATATATATTGCCAGATTATGAAGTATTATTATAATTATTATTACCAATTCAATTCATTTTTTTTTTTTGCATTTTTTCGGCAATGCATACAAAATAAATATAAATCACTTGAAATATGACATACACATTAAACAAATATACAATGTTCACATAAAAAGCAGGAACATCAATCCATAATTCGTCCATTGTTTCTAGACACTAGAAAAAATTAATGCAAATGCTTTAATCTAGAAATTTACATAATTGTAATATTCTACTTTTATTTCTTGATGACTTGATTATGTAATAGAACTTATTAGATACATGATTTGCTTAGTTGTGAAAATAAGGGACAACACAGTAAGAAGTGGTATTCTGATTAAACATTTTATACGAGCACAATTTACAAAATCGGTTATTTCTATTCAGGCAGTATTGCGAAATGAGACCATAAACAAATCATGAGATGTTTACGTATATTGTCATTTTTTTACAATATTAAACTATTCCTCGAAACAAAACTGTTTTATATTTATTATTATGGCACTACAACTCAATAAATCACATGTACATTATAGTGGTTGTTTTTATCTAATATTTCATAGAAGTTAGAAAAACAATATTTGGAACATGGACATATCAAGTCAAAGTATTTATTAGCATAAACATATATACATGTTTTTCGCCACACGCGGTTAGATTAACAAAAGTAATATAATATTGAAAAGTATGCAAATATATAATTCATGTTTCATTTTCATGTTTTAACAAAAGATGGACACATAAGTACACATAAACACATACAATACAATTCATGGCATTTTTAACATATCTAATAATATACAGCATGAATATGAAAAATAGTTTAGAGAAATACATTTTATTATACAACTCTCATTTCTCTTCTTTAAAGTCAGATAGACAAATTTTGCATGTTTAACTATAACAGATATTTTGGGTGTTGACATAAGCTTATTGAATTTATTCATATAAGGCCATGTGTGATAATAATTATATAAAATTATCTATAAAAAGGACATATTAACAAAAAATGATACTCTGATTCAACTTGATTCATAGAACATCTTCTACATAATCTTTCGCTTCTAATAATATTTCTATATCGACCTTCTTCAATCTCTAAGTTGTGTGATCTAAATCTCACTAGTGCCTCGACATAAACAGTATTTAAATAACTAGCTTGAATAAAGTTTAACTGAAATTCTCTATGATAATCTAATGTAGGAGATGAGTCTAATTCAGATAACCATTGTTGGTAATATTGATCATGCATTCTTTGAATTATTAATTTAACATTCATTTCAGATATTCTATCACAATTCCACAGGTAAGAAAAACCAAGGTCATCTAATAACTTTTTTACATTACATGACCAACTATTTAACAATCTATTATTTCGTCCCTGCAACATCATTAATTTGTACATAGTTGAGTCAGGCATATTTTTAATTTTATACCAAAACTTAATTATTCTAATTTTACGTACTATACACAAAGGAAATACACCAAATTCTCCATAAACTGCAGTAGTGCATGATTGTTGTTTAACACCAAGTATTTGTTTTTGTATATACGTTCTATGTCCGGAGATTTATGGAAACCCCATATTTCAGATCCGTAACATAAAATTGGTAATACCATTGAATTAAGAGTTTTAATTTATCTTCAATATCTTTATTAACATTATCAAAAAGAGAGTTCAAAGAATAAAGAGTTTGGGCAGACAATGATTTTTGAGCTTGATAAAATAGATAAATACAGAATCCCCAAAGAAAGCCCAACACGGCAAAATTGAAAATGTTGCAGGCTCGGTTTGATTGAGCCTGTTCATGGACGGTACTGGAAAGTGCAAGTTACCGTCCACGCCCCTAGCACTGGCTTAAGCAGAATTCAACATTTAAACATGAAATAGTAAAATTTTAACTTCCATTAGATGATAGCGTTACTCTTAAATAAGTAAATGTTTTAACTTGTTTTAAAATTTTATTGTCATACTTAAATATCAACATTGTATTCGTCCTCAATATCAACATCGTTACAAAGTTTTTATCTTTCGTTACATGGTAATCTATTTTGACCTGACTTTCTAGTGTGTATGCGCTGAAATTCGCATTCTTGTAATAAAAAATCTTTTTGTAAGGTAAAACATTAAAGCTGCACGCCTCCAGATGAGCCAAAATATGTTCAAGAAAATCGACAAAATGTACTAAATTTTCAGAAAGGTTAAAATATTGAAGATCCAAGATATATTTTACATGTTATGTACGGTATTTTGCAGTATTTTATCCCCACATTTCTACTGCGTTACAAACGCATTAATGGCTGTTTTGCATATGTGGACCACTTTTTGGTAATTTTGTGCAGATTGCAATATGTAAATTACTTTTAAATATATTTTCAAAATTTTCATGAAAATTAACATAAATCTGGAGGCGTGAAGTACAAAAATATTTCATATGACAGCATAGTGTTACACATTTTTTTTTTAAATCATATCTAAATGAATTGAAACTTGATATAAAATACCACTTCATAATATTTTATAGTAACCCATGTTTTGCCTATAATAGCATTATTTATTCTTTAACACACTAAGAAAAAGTAAGAAGCACATACTTCAAATACAGGGTCTATAAAATCTGAAGACCATATTTGTAAATTAGAAAATGTTTATAAAAATAGTTCTGTCATATCATATTTATTTATTCCATCTATCTTAAAGGGACTCCACTGAGGTTTAAATGCCTAAAAACATAACTTGAGAAATTCTTACATAAATGAACTGGGGCGCTTTAAACAGAAATTTATGCAAAGATAGTTAAGAAATATACTTTATAATAAATCAAAAATCGTAGTTTTATGCTTTTCTTAGCCTAATTTGAGTGAAAAGCGTTTAAACGCTTTTCATTTTGGGTCATTTTTTTTACAATTTGAATAATTATTATGAAAATGTGCGCGAATGATCTGAAAGTTTGCACAAAGATTCGTGGTCTACACCTACATCAAATGGTACATTTATCTAGAAGAAAAAAATCAGTCCCATCAAGTCAACATCAGTGGAGTCCCTTTAAATATAACTGTTCTGCTTTGATTGAAACAATGCTTTATGTGAGTTTAAAATTCTAGTAACAATTAATAGAACCTGATATTTGAAAATGATGCATAGAAATCTTACCTGTTTCACATTTCCGGTGTTGCCAGCGTTCACAAATGTCACAAGCGACAGCATGCATACGTGATGATACAATTTTGGAGCATCGGACACAGTAATGTTTGGTAGCCATGATTACAAATGATCAAAGATGAATTTTTTCTTATATTTATACATATAAATTTCATCACCTTATTTTCAAACTGTTGTTAACCCGACAAACAAACTTTGGTGTTCAATTAATTTTCCTAATTAGCCATGGACTTTAATTGACAATTAAAGTCCGTGTAATTAACGTATTGTAATGAGAATTGTTATCAATTGTTAAGGTCTTTTTGATCATCAAGTATTTCCCCGCATGTTTTTTAATCAAAGTGGTTAATAACTTAATAGGCATAATTAACTTAAAGGTGTGATAAATAACATTTTAACAATCACATAATTATCAAATTGATTGCTACCAAGCATATTCAATTAAAAATTGATCCTGATTCAATACATTATTCACATAATGTAAAGAAAAAAAATATTTGTCGTATTAAAAACATTATACGGTCTGTAAAAAAAATGGTAAATTACACTATACATGCTTAAATTTTAAGATGGACGTAATGGACCTAAAGTTTTAAGTACGAATAAAATATGTTTGATTTAGTGAGTAGCCTACTCTGCGTTAGCAGCTAAGGGCAGTAAACCTTACAAATGTAGAGTACTCTTCATTTGTTTAAAGTTAAATTGTTATTTACTTCACTATGAGTATACAAGCTCTTTGGATTGTAAGAAATCGTCCAGTAAGCAAAACAAACGAAGAAGATGTTGTTTTATTCTCTAGGTAACAGAGCAGGGGAGCATGTGTTATATATTTTCAGTTAATTGAAACAGGTTGACTCGGCCTTCAATAAACTCGCCCTTTTAGTCACCCGGCCCCGTTAGACTTATTTATCCTGGTTATACCTTTTATTGCAATTCTAAATTTCATCAACACTGTATCAATCATAATAAGTTGTAAAGTGAGTCTGTAAGTGACTATTGTCCTAAGTAATCATTCTAAAAGTTACTTCTGAAACAATAAACTGACAAACAACACTGAACAAAGCATCCTACATGTAAAGGTATTAACTTGTGTGTTGGGCTGTGTTTATTTACCCTTGCCGCCATATGAACGAGCATATGCTGCATTTATTATTGGGAAAACTACACTTTAATTAATAATTATCTGCATATGAGTACCATATTTCCAGACCAGCCTGCGCATCCGCGCAGTCTGATCCATGCTGTTCGCTTACCAACCAAATTACAAGTAGAAAAACTGATAGCGAATAGCATGGATCCTAATCAGACTACGCGGATGCGTAGGCTGGTCTGGATCCATGCTGGTCGCAAATGCACTATGTTGGTTTTGTCATGACACGGCTCAATTATGAATAAACTTTTGATAAATAGTACAGTGGCAGCTCAATTGGTGTTGCAATTAAGATAGGACTTTAACTTTGTTACTTATTTATTTCCAGGTTATATCAAACATATATCAGAAAGTCAAAGGAATTGGATGGTGACCAATATGTTAAAATTCCAAGCAACCCAGAACTAGCTAAATCTGTCATGTTTGAGCTGGGCCACACAGCAGATGAATTCTCAAAAGTAAGAAAACTCACATGTCTATATTTCAGTTGCTTGTTTACTTTAGTTTTGAGGCACGAAAAATTTGTTATGGCCATAAAACTTTGAACCACTCACCCCTCATGCTGAGGGTTCAGATCCCACCATGGATTTTTTTACTTGAATATGAGAAGCTGTCCATGTAGCTTACTCAAGGTCATTGGTTCTTAGGAAAACACCTCTATAAGCATTGTATGCTTTCGGATCTAATCCTTTTTTCAGCATTGTATATTATGTAACTAATGTTTGTATGTAATATATGTTTGTGTGAAAATGTTTGAAATAAAATATGTTTAAAGTAAGGTCATTGGTTCTGCACAGATGCAAGCTTATGCCTTAAATAATGCACAATTGGACATCTTAGGTCTTCCTCCACCAATAAAGCTGGAAAGGCGCCATATAAACTTAATAGTGTTGGTGTAAGTACTGTGACATAAAATCCAGTGAAAATAAATGTCATATTCTTATAAAGAGATTTATCCTGCTACTGTCTTTTTCATCAGCTGGATAAAGCCCTGCCGGATAAACTTATCTATCTCCAGTCATTACGTCATATGATGACGTCACATGGTTAGCAGCAAAACAAAATTACATAAAGATGCTATTTTACCGGGGAAAAGTAAGAATTAAACCATTTAATTTATCTAAAAACATGATTAAAAGCAGGATAAATTAAATACATGGTTGATGTCGGGATGGTGAAGGTTTATCCGGTTCGCTGCGAAAGTGAATCTTGGCTCGCTAAAGCTCGCCAAGATACACTTTCTCGCTCACCGGATAAACCTTCTCCATCCCGACATCAACTATGTATTCTCTATATCTCAGTTGCTTCTCTAGCTGTGCATACTTAAAGGCATAAGCAAGCACGCACTCGAGTAGAATAACTGACTCATGTAGCTAGGCAATATCAATAGCTTTCACACTTGAAAATACTAGTACATGGATTACATGATTGTTAGTCCCCTACCGGTTTAACCGGAGGGGACTTTAGGTTTACCCTCCGTCCGTCTGTCCGTCTGTCTGTCTGTCCGTCTGTCTGTCCGTCTGTCTGTCTGTCAGTCCGTCAGTCCGTCCGTCCACAAAACTGGATCCCGCGATAACGCAAAAAGTACTGAAAATATTTTTATGAAACTTGATATATGGATAGATGGCAGTATGGAGATTATGCACGTCTTTTTTTTTTCTTCCTATGTTGAAAATTCTGGTTGCTATGGCAACAAATAGTCTGAAAATATGGCAAATTTAGCACATAAACTGGATCCAGTGATAACTCAAAAAGTACTGAAAATATTTTTATGAAACTTGAAATATTGGTAGATGGCAGTCTGGAGATTATGCACATCTTTTTCTTTTCTTCCTATGTTGAAAATTCTGGTTGCTATGGCAACAAATAGCCTGAATTTCAAGATTTCTGATTTAAATTTTTCAGCTTTTTCACTATATGTTCTTTATTTCTTAAGGTGTTTACTTCAAACTTTAAATATAAGTTTCTGGTCATCAACCACATCATATGTGACAAGGTTTATAACTCTAGCACAAAAAATATCAGTATTACCTCCCTTGAACTTAGATTTTTTAGGGGAAAAAATGTTGTCTTTTTTAAATAACTTCTTTATTTCCTAATGTATCTACTTCAAACTTCATATATATGTTTCTTATTATCACTCGACATTTTTGAGAAGGTTAAATACTCTAGCAAGACTATTTCCAGAATTATGTCCCCCTTTAACTTAGATTTTTTTTAAATATTAACAAATAGTCTGAAAATATGGCAAATTTAACACATAAACTGGATCCAGTGATAACTCAAAAAGTACTGAAAATATTTTTATGAAACTTGAAATATGGGTAGATGGCAGTCTGGAGATTATGCACATCTTTTTCTTTTCTTCCTATGTTGAAAATTCTGGTTGCTATGGCAACAAATAGCCTGAATTTCAAGATTTCTGATTTAAATTTTTCAGCTTTTTCACTATATGTTCTTTATTTCTTAAGGTGTTTACTTCAAACTTTAAATATAAGTTTCTGGTCATCAACCACATCATATGTGACAAGGTTTATAACTCTAGCACAAAAAATATCAGTATTACCTCCCTTGAACTTAGATTTTTTAGGGGAAAAAATGTTGTCTTTTTTAAATAACTTCTTTATTTCCTAATGTATCTACTTCAAACTTCATATATATGTTTCTTATTATCACTCGACATTTTTGAGAAGGTTAAATACTCTAGCAAGACTATTTCCAGAATTATGTCCCCTTTAACTTAGATTTTTTTCGAGAAACTGGTATTTTCACTCCAACTTCTTCATTCCTTATAGGATTTACTTTAAAATCCCACATCGTAATAATATGACAAGGTTGTATAAACATAATTTCCTTACTAAGCATGGAAACTTAACACATTACTGTGATATAGACAAACTTATTTTATTATGTTTTGTGGTTGATATTTTCAAATACAGACTTCATCCTCAAATTCATTATAAATGGCAATACACAGGAGTGTATGACAATTAAAGAACTTTTTGAGGGACCGGTAGGGGACTACTGTATTGCCCGCAATACTATCAAATGCTTGTTACATGTGCTATACAAGTAAAAATTCCATATCACAAGTTTTAATAGTTCTTTGTTTTGAACGTGTTAACATATAATATATGACTACATTTTGTATATATAATAAATTATAATAGCCTTGTTTTGCATTTAAAGGGATTTCAATAGCTTTATCTTGAAATAGAAAAACAGAGCAGCAAACCATCTTGCCAGGATGAAGGTCTTGCCACATCTCTTTAGACATTTTTACAGACTTGCATGGCTGTACGTGAACTAGTGACACACTCAACTATATGGTTTTTTTTATTTTTATTTTTTTTCAAGTTTGTACAGACTCGTGACAGCTGTGAGAGGATTGAACAGAAACCTGTGTATGAGATCAGTACAAAAGATGGGAAACTTTGGCCAATGGTTGTTGTAGAACAGGTGAGATTTATATTTTTAGTCTGGCATACAAATAATAATTTAATGTACTGATAATCTCTCTGGTCTGAACTTTACTTTGAATTTTATGTAGTTTTGAGTTTTGATAAGATCATACTGCATATATTTTAAATTTTACCATGGTAACCCTTGTGCATTACATTCTTTTAAAAGTATAATATTCTTAATGCCTTTGTTAAACCTTATATATAATATTCCTGTTATGTTAATCTAGGTTGACACTTAACTTGATTTACTTGAAAATGATATACAGCTGTATTTAGTCTTTCCAATGTTAAAATAGTGGAAGATATGTTTTGCAGTCACAATGTTTAGCAAACTGTGAGACAAACTCCAAGTCATGTATCACAGAAGAAGTGATTGTTTAAGTTAAATATAGAATAATATTTTAACTTATTTCAGTCTGGTTTAGTCTTATGCTGCTTACCATTTGTAAAACAGGGAACAAAAACTAGACCACCTCTAATAGATATGTAAGTACATTGTACATGTATATCTATACAGTTTCCTGAATATTGCTATAATAAATTAAATCAGTAATGAGTTTAAATTGTTACAGTGTTGATTACAATAAACAGGTTAAAAAAGTAATTTAAGATGTCTTTATATGAAAAAAAGAATTTAAATACATAGCTGTAGAGGGTTTGCTCCTTTATGTTAATTATACGCCAGAGCTTTGCTGAACATCATTTACATGCGGTACAATGTGGAAATTGAAAATTTGTTTCAAATATACAATGTACATGTTTGTAGAAAAGTTTCCCTTACTTCATTGCACCTCTCATTTTTTCAGACCTGGCGTAACTCTTGGTTTTACCTTGCTGTGTGCACTGGGAGATTTTTTGAGAAACACACCAATTTCTGATGTAAGACTTTTTCTGTAAAATTTTGTGTTTCTGCTAGTTCAATAATATAAGAAATTCCATTTGAAATGGACACATAAAAGACAATGTAAATGTGGTAACATTTAGTAGTCCTCTTCAAAACTTATATAAACGTGCCCCTGGCATATAGCCTCGAGTGCCCATGTTCCGGTGATATAAGGACAGAATTGAGAATAAAACCAACTTTAAGAATGAAAAAAACAGTTGTAACATTTGCCAAATAAAAACAAATAACTTACCTTCAAAATGCCTTTGTTTTTATTAAAATAGCATAAGTAGTTCATGATTTTTTTTTCAAAAGTTTAACCACCTCCAAAAAATTCTTCTGTAAAAACATGGTGCCCTGATTCCGGTGACGTCATACACATGCTAATCAAGGGGGGTAACTCCGAATAAAACAACAATTAGGCCACTTACATTTTTATGTTGGGTTCTACAGGTACATATGTTTTATACATAGTAATTTTAATTCAAAACATAAATTTTTCACAGTTTTAATCAGTTATCATTGCACATATTCTCAAGGAAGTAAATTTCCAATTTAGTTTATTTACATCTTGTTATATCAAGTCACAAATATGCAAGGATGCAGATTCACTCTTCCTCCTTGCAACATGGGCAAACAAAGTGATCTCCACGCCTTAAGACTCTTTCAGAAGTACAATAAATCAAATGCACCCAGTGGCCACAAGACTCACACTGCCCCCATGTTGTAAACTTTACAAAATTGCGGTTCAACAGTTCAACTGGGGTAAATTTTTTGCATTTACAACAAAGTTCAGACTCATCAATTTCAATTTCACTGTCAGTATCTGACACATTTTCAACAAGATTTATACATGATGGCCCAGGTTGTGGTGATGGTGGGGTCTTCTTTTGCTGTTTACTCTGCTTAACCTTAGATTTTGACTGGTTAGATTTTCCTTGTTTTTGAACATGCTCAGTCATTTGTTTCAGTACAGACTCATTGATTTCCTTACCTGCAACAATTTTACTCATGGTATTTCTTGGTTTTGTTTTGTTTTCATTTTTTACCCTTTTAAGACTAGCCTCTTTCTGGTGCAAGAAATTTACAATGTCCCGAGGCATTTCATTTAATTCTGACTGGACCCCACCTATCACTGTTGCCTGGCTATCATCACTGACATCAGTGTCAGAAGAACATGATCTGAACACCTCTGCAGGTAGAAGTTTCTCCTGTGCGATGGCCAAGGGATCAAATGGGTAAATGCCTGCACGGCGGAATGCAGCCTGGACATTATTTGGGGTAAGGGCAGCTAGATAGGATGAACAAGATACTTGGCAAATATTGTATCTGGTAATTACTGATGAAACTTCCCTAATCAGCTTGTGACATTTTATATCATATATTTTCTGAAAGGGGCCAAAACATCCTACATCCATGGGCTGAAGAATGTGGCTACAATGGGGTGGCAATATGAAGATAACAATTCCTAATTTATGTGCCCATTCAGAGAGACCTACAGACACATGAGACTTATGCCCATCTAGGATCACAAGGATTTTCTTATCATTGCGTCCAGGAACAAATTTAAGAAAGTGATGTTCTAAATAATATCTAAAAATGCTGCCATTAGACCAGCCGGTTTCACTAACTGTTCCATCAGCACCTGAAATGTAAAAATAGTTTGATTTAGCTATGCCAATATAATATTTTTACTGTGAAAAAAATCTACCAAATATGCAAAAAAAATATCAGTATTTAGATATTTGTTAAATAAGTAACTTTTTTTAATTAAATAATTAACCTGGCGATGCTCCAATCATAAGCTCAGACCTCATGCGCTGTCCGGGAAAAACAAGATAAGGGGGGATAGCTTGTCCAGCTGCACTTCCAGCACCAATCAAAGTTACAATCTGTCCCTTGCCAGAGGTAACAGCAGAGGGGATGTAACTAGAACTTGACACTACATGAGGAGGCTTATGCTCAACTTTGACTGCCTTTTCATCAATGTTGAAAATCAAATGGGGTTCAATGTTGTGGTTTTCAATTGTTTCTTTTAAGTTGATGAAGTATTTCATCACTGTATCTCGTGATGCCATTTTTGCTCGGGCGTGTTCTAGACCCTATAATGGAGAATAATAATATGATTAAGAATATCAATTGATTGAATACAAGTTATGAAATAATACATTAAAAAGCATATTATGATATAGGTCTACTGTACTTGAATATATTTAATTATTAGATGTGAATTATTTCAATATAAAACAAAAAAATACCTACTTTTGGTTTAACAACCTTTAACTCTGGCCACCTCTTTAAAAACCCTCTCATCCATTTCATCGTGAGTGGTCTATCCTGAGTTCGTCGACCTAATTGGACAGCATAATCAGTGGCAATGTCAACACACTCTTGTCTTGTGTACCCATGGCCATATCCTGCCATAGTTTTGAAATGGCTGACAAGATTAGCCTCTTCATACTCGTCAAACAAGGGTTGTCCACCAGCAGACAGAGTATCAATATGAACTAACCCTAAAGTTCTGTCCCTAAGGGTACTCTCTGGGACACCATAGAGTTTTGAGGCTTTTCTAACTGATGTGCCATTCTCCTTTATATGCATATAGGCATTTGTCAATGCTGTAGGGGAGTAAAGCCTGTTTTTACGGCGAATTTTCTTTGGATTTTGCTGAAAAGCAATTTTGAGATAAAACAAATGATAAAAAATCACATAAGAAATAGGTCTGAAAACCACTCATGAAAAATGTGCTTAGCCCTAACTTACCGAAAATTGCACGATGGGAAAATGTCAATAGAGGTTTGTTTACAAACATAAATCAGCTGTCAAATTTTCAAATGATGTTTTTGAAGCAAAAATAGGCAGTTTTTGAAAGCAATGAATTGGAAATAGTAAAAAATACAAATTTACATGAAGATGAAATGTTATGACCCTTCTTTACCTGCTTTGTTCGCATTTTGAGCTGATTTTCTGTTTGCTGTTTGCGTTCTGCAATACACAAAATTTTATCGAGCACTTGACGTATGACGTCATCGATTTCGCGCGAGACAGGAAGTAAACAAAAATCACCGGAACCAGGACTCCCACGGAATAAGGGCACCCGAGGCTATATTGGCATGCCCATTTATCACTCTGTTTCTAAAGACATATGTAGGGAATGTTATGTCTTCTTTTGTGAAAGTCCAGAGCATTGATATTTGACATATAGTATTTCCTAGTGAATCTCTACAAAAATTTAGTCTTCTGGGGTCAAAATGGCACCCTCTCTTACTTTACACAGACATGTATAGAAAACATGCCTTTGTTGGTCCTAAATATTTAGCATGTAACATCACCTTTTGTTCTTCTAACAAAGTGTTATAAATCTTATCCATTGGATCAAAATTGGCCTCTGCCCAGGGGACACCTTTTTACAGATCTAAGGTGAGGACTCTAGGACCATCATGACCCTATTGTTATTTTTTTTAATTGCTTAACAGATTTACTTCAAATAGTTGCTTCTTATCTCATTTCATTTAAAACCTCATTTCACATTAAATTTTTTACTCTCATCTTTTTTTCAATCAAATAAGAATTTTTAACTCCGAAGCAGTTGTTAAATATCATCTCTCACACAGTTTACTACAAGGTCTAGAACTCTGTCTATTTTGAAAGTAATGCCCCTTTTGAACTGAAAATTTAATGTTAAATTTAGTATTTTTATTACTCTGGATTTTACCAAAGATATTTCCTCTCTGAGCATTATCATTTGGGAAATAAGTCTCCTTTTTAACTTAAAATATTAAATTTTTTGTCTTAAAGGATTACATTAAAAGTAATAAAATATCTACATCATTATCCATGCTAGTTGATTATTTATTTTTCAGTTTGATCAAAAGATCAGTGATATATATGCATTCCTGACACAAGCTGCACCATTTGGTACTGTACTTGACACCACTGTCGACTCTGTCCTCGCCAAGATGACAAATAAAATAAGCGCAACACCTAAAACTCAGAAGGTATTTATTATTACTGTGTAATTTTTAGCTCACCTGTCACAAAGTGACAGGGTGAGCTTTTGTGATCGCTTTTCGTCCGGCGTCCGTCGTCCGTCCGTCGTCCGTCCGTCGTCCGTAAACTTTTACTTTAAATGACATCTCCTCATAAACCACTAGGCCAATTTCATCCAAACTTCACAGGAATGTTCCTTTGGTGGTCACCTTTAAAAATTGTTCAAAGAATTTAATTCCATGCAGAACTCTGGTTGCCATGGCAACCGAAAGAAAAAACTTTAAATATCTTCTTTTAAAAAACCCTAAGAGCTAGAGCTAAGATTTTTAGCATGAAACATGTTCTAATAGGTGTCTACCAAGTTTGTTCAAATAAAAGCCCTGGGGTCAAAATTGGCCCCGCCCCAGGGGGTCATTGATTTTCCCTATATGCATATAGTAAAAACTTAAAAAATCTTCTTTTAAAGAACCCAAAGAGCTAGAGCTAAGATATGTAGCATGAAACATGTTCTAATGAGTGTCTACCAAGTTTGTTCAAATAAAAGCCCTGGGGTCAAAATTGGCCCCGCCCCAGGGGGTCATTGATTTTCCCTATATGCATATAATAAAAACCTAAAAAAATCTTCTTTTAAAGAACTCAAAGAGCTAGAGCTAAGATATTTAGCATGAAACATGTTGTAATGGGCGTCTACCAAGTTTGTTCAAATAAAAGCCCTGGGGTCAAAATTGGCCCCGCCCCGGGGGTCATTGATTTTCCTTATATGTGTATAGCAAAAACTTAAAAAATCTTCTATGAAAAAACCCAAATAGCTAGTGTTTAGATATTAAGCATGAAACATCTTCTAGTGAGTGTCTACAAAGTTTGTTCAAATAAAAGACCTGGGGTCAAAATTGGCCCCGCCCCGGGGGTCATTGATTTTCCTTATATGTGTATAGCAAAAACTTAAAATCTTCTTTGAAAAAACCCAAATAGCTAGAGTTTAGATATTAAGCATGAAACATCTTCTAGTGAGTGTCTACAAAGTTTGTTCAAATAAAAGACCTGGGGTCAAAATTGGCCCCGCCCCGGGGGTCATGTGTATAGCAAAAACTTAAAATCTTCTTTGAAAAAACCCAAATAGCTGGAGTTTAGATATTAAGCATGAAACATCTTCTAGTAAGTGTCTACAAAGTTTGTTCAAATAAAAGCCCTGGGGTCAAAACTGGGCCGACCCCAGGGGTGTCATTGTTTTTAACTATATGTGTATAGTAAAAACTTTAAAAAAACTTCTTTTAAAAAGCCCAATGAGCTAGAGCTTAGATGTTTAGCATGAAACATCTTCTTATGGGTGTCTACCAAATTTGTTCAAATAAAAGCCCTGGGATCAAAATTGGCCCCACCCCAGGGGGTCATTGATTTTCCCTATATGCATATAGTAAAAACTTAAAAAATCTTCTTTTAAAGAACCAAAAGAGCTAGAGCTTAGATATTTGGCATGAAACATCTTCTAGTGAGTGTCTACCAAGTTTGTTCAAATAAAAGCCCTGGGTCAAAATTGGCCCCGCCCCAGGGGGTCATTGATTTTCCCTATATGCATATAGTAAAAACTTAAAAAATCTTCTTTTAAAGAACCCAAAGAGCTAGAGCTAAGATATGTAGCATGAAACATGTTCTAATGAGTGTCTACCAAGTTTGTTTAAATTAAAGCCCTGGGGTCAAAATTGGCCCCGCCCCGGGGGTCATTGATTTTCCCTATATGCATATAATAAAAACCTAAAAAAATCTTCTTTTAAAGAACTCAAAGAGCTAGAGCTAAGATATTTAGCATGAAACATGTTGTAATGGGCGTCTACCAAGTTTGTTCAAATAAAAGCCCTGGGGTCAAAATTGGCCCCGCCCCGGGGGTCATTGATTTTCCTTATATGTGTATAGCAAAAACTTAAAAAATCTTCTATGAATAAACCCAAATAGCTAGTGTTTAGATATTTAGCATGAAACATCTTCTAGTGAGTGTCTACAAAGTTTGTTCAAATAAAAGACCTGGGGTCAAAATTGGCCCCGCCCCGGGGGTCATTGATTTTCCTTATATGTGTATAGAAAAAACTTAAAATCTTCTTTGAAAAAACCCAAATAGCTGGAGTTTAGATATTAAGCATGAAACATCTTCTAGTAAGTGTCTACAAAGTTTGTTCAAATAAAAGCCCTGGGGTCAAAACTCGCCCCAGGGGTGTCATTGTTTTTAACTATATGTGTATAGTAAAAACTTTAAAAAAATCTTCTTTTAAAAAGCCCAATGAGCTAGAGCTTAGATGTTTAGCATGAAACATCTTCTTATGGGTGTCTACCAAGTTTGTGCAAATAAAAGCCCTGGGGTCAAAATTGGCCCCGCCCCGGGGGTCATTGATTTTCCCTATATGCATATAGTAAAAACTTAAAAAATCTTCTTTTAAAGAACTCAAATAGCTAGAGATATAGCATCAAACATGCTCTAATAGTGTCTACCAAGTTTGTTCAAATAAAAGCCCTGGGGTCAAAATTGGCCCCGCCCCGGGGGTCATTGATTTTACTTTTATGTGTATAGCAAAAACTTAAAATCTTCTTTGAAAAAACCCAAATAGCTAGAGTTTAGATATTAAGCATGAAACATCTTCTAGTAAGTGTCTACAAAGTTTGTTCAAATAAAAGCCCTGGGGTCAAAACTGGCCCGGCCCCAGGGGTGTCATTGTTTTTAACTCTATGTGTATAGTAAAAACTTAAAAAAATCTTCTTTTAAAAAGCCCAATGAGCTAGAGCTTAGATGTTTAGCATGAAACATCTTCTTATGGGTGTGTGTGGGGGGGTGGGGGCTATATACAGGTGAGCGACCTCAGGGCCTTCATGGCCCTCTTGTTAACATGTAGGTTAATTTATATACATTTATGATTACATCACTTTTGTAAAAGAATTGGTCGATTAACAAATCTTTGTTTCCACTTATACTTAAAGGAACTGATGTATATTTAAAAGCATGATTGTCTTCTATATAGTCTGATATTAGGTGGGTGCTATGGGGGGGGGGGGGGTGTACTTTAGGTCTCCCTCCACCAGTAATGCTGGAAAGTGTCCAAATGATTTTTGTGTCGCCTCTACGGAGTAGTGACGACATATAGGGATCACTTCTCCGTCGTCTGTCTGTCCGTCCGTCTGCCAGTCCGTCCGTCACAAAACTTGTCCGGACTACTCCTCATAAACTACTGGTGCAATTTCATCCAAACTTTAAAGGAATGATCAATACCAAGTCTAGTTGTGCATATTGTCAGCATTTTCCGGTTCAATGATTTTTAGTTCACCTGTCACAAAGTGACAGGGTGAGCTTTTGTGATCGCTTTTCGTCCGGCGTCCGTCCGTAAACTTTTACTTTAAATGACATCTCCTCATAAACCACTAAGCCAATTTCATCCAAACTCCACAGGAATGTTCCTTTGGTGGTGACCTTTAAAAATTGTTCAAAGAATTTAATTCCATGCAGAACTCTGGTTGCCATGGCAACCGAAAGAAAAAACTTTAAATATCTTCTTTTAAAAAACCATAAGAGCTAGAGCTTAGATATTTGGCATGAAACATCTTCTAGTGAGTGTCTACCAAGTTTGTTCAAATAAAAGCCCTGGGGTCAAAATTGGCCCCGCCCCGGGGGGTCATTGATTTTCCCTATATGCATATAGTAAAAACTTAAAAAATCTTCTTTTAAAGAACCCAAAAGAGCTAGAGCTAAGATATTAGCATGAAACATGTTCTAATGAGTGTCTACCAAGTTTGTTCAAATAAAAGCCCTGGGGTCAAAATTGGCCCCGCCCCGGGGGGGTCATTGATTATCCCTATATGCATTATAGTAAAAACTTAAAAAATCTTCTTTTAAAGAACTCAAAGAGCTATGGCTAAGATATTTAGCATCAAACATGTTCTAATTGGTGTCTACCAAGTTTGTTCAAATAAAAGCCCTGGGGTCAAAATTGGCCCAGTCCCAGGGGGGGGTCATTGATTTTCCCTATATGCATATAGTAAAAACTTAAAAAATCTTTTTTTAAAGAACCAAAAGAGTTAAAGCTAAGATATTTAGCATGAAACATGTTCTAATGGGTGTCTACCAAGTTTGTTCAAATAAAAGCCCTGGGGTCAAAATTGGCCCCGCCCCGGGGGGTCATTGATTTTCCCTATATGCATATAGTAAAAACTTAAAAAAATCTTCTTTTAAAGAACTCAAAGAGCTAGAGCTAAGATATTTAGCATGAAACATGTTCTAATAGGTGTCTACCAAGTTTGTTCAAATAAAAGCCCTGGGGTCAAAATTGGCCCCGCCCAGGGGGGGTCATTGATTTTCCCTATATGCATATAGTAAAAACTTAAAAAATCTTCTTTTTAAAGAACCAAAAGAGCTAAAGCTAAGATATTTAGCATGAAACATGTTCTAATGGGTGTCTACCAAGTTTGTTAAAATAAAAGCCCTGGGGTCAAAATTGGCCCCGCCCCGGGGGGTCATTGATTTTCCCAAATTGCATATAGTAAAAACTTAAAAAATCTTCTTTTAAAGAACTCAAAGAGCTATGGCTAAGATATTGAGCATCAAACATGTTCTAATAGGTGTCTACCAAGTTTTTTCAAATAAAAGCCCTGGGGTCAAAATTGGCCCCGCCCCGGGGGGTCATTGATTTTCCCTATATGCATATAGTAAAAACTTAAAAAATCTTCTTTTAAAGAACCAAAAGAGCTATGAGCTAAGATATTGAGCATCAAACATGTTCTAATAGGTGTCTACAAGTTTGTTCAAATAAAAGCCCTGGGGTCAAAATTGGCCCCACCCAGGGGGTCATTGATTTTCCCTATATGCATATAGTAAAAACTTAAAAAATCTTTTTTTAAAGAACCAAAAGAGTTAAAGCTAAGATATTTAGCATGAAACATGTTCTAATAAGTGTCTACAAAGTTTGTTCAAATTAAAGCCCTGGGGTCAAAATTGGCCCCGCCCCGGGGGATCATTGATTTTCCCTATATGCATATAGTAAAAACTTAAAAAATCTTCTTTTAAAGAACCAAAAGAGTTAAAGCTAAGATATTTAGCATGAAACATGTTCTAATAAGTGTCTACAAAGTTTGTTCAAATAAAAGCCCTGGGGTCAAAATTGGCCCCGCCCCGGGGGATCATTGATTTTCCCTATATGCATATATTAAAAACTTAAAAAATCTTCTTTTAAAGAACTCAAAGAGCTATGGCTAAGATATTTAGCATCAAACATGTTCTAATAGGTGTCTACCAAGTTTGTTCCAATAAAAGCTCTGGGTCAAAATTGGCACCGCCCCGGGGGTCATTGATTTTCCTTATATGTGTATGGTAAAAAATTAAAAAATCTTCTTTGAAAAAACCCAAATAGCTAGAGTTAAGATATTAAGCATGAAACATCTTTTACTGTGTGTCTACAAAGTTTGTTCAAATAAAAGACCTGGGGTCAAAATTGGCCCCGCCCCGGGGGGTCATTGATTTTCTTTATATGTGTATAGCAAAAACTTAAAAATCTTCTTTGAAAAAAACCCAAATAGCTAGAATTTAGATATTAAGCATGAAACATCTTCTAGTAAGTGTCTACAAAGTTTGTTCAAATAAAAGCCCTGGGGTCAAAACTGGCCCGGTCCCAGGGGTGTCTTTGTTTTTAACTATATGTGTATAGTAAAAACTTTAAAAAAATCTTCTTTCAATAAAGCCCAATGAGCTAGAGCTTAGATGTTTAGCATTAAACATCTTCTTATGGGTGTCTACCGAGTTTGTGCATACAAAAGCCCTTGGGTTAAATTGGCCCTGCAACGTTGGGGGGGGGGGGGGGGGGGCCTATATACAGGTGAGCGACCTCAGGGCCATCATGGCCCTCTTGTTGTCAGAGTAATGGCCCTTTAATAATTTTTAATTTTAAAGTTTGTCCGGACTACTTCTCTTATACCACTTATGCAATTTCAATGAAACTTTACAGGATTGATCTGTAGCTCAAGTCCTTGCGCATATTGCACAGGTTTTCTGGTTGAATGATTTTTGGCCGAGTTATGGCCCTTTGATAAAAAGGTGTTTTTTTCTGTGTGTTGCCAGATACACAAAAGCTTGTCCGGACTACTCCTCATAAACTACTGGTGCAATTTTATCCAAACCAGTACCAAGTCTAGTTGTGCACTGTCCGTCTGTCTGTCCCTCTGTCACAAAATTTGTCCCAACATGAAATTGGCCATCATGAGGCGACACATGTGATCACTGATTGCTCTTGTTAGAGTGTCAGTGTGACTTAAACTTGGAAAACTTAAAACAAAGATGCAAAGAGTCAATTTCATTTCAGAAATGTTAGTTCAACTGTAAGAAATTTTGCTTGTTTATACATGAAGATGTAAATTATTGAATTAAGATGTTTCAGGAAATGTAAATAAGAGGAGTTAACCCCCTTGAAACTTAAATGATAAATTATGCCAAATTAACTTGTCATAAACTTTTTAAAATGTTTGAGTTCAGAATTGTATAACATTTTAGATATTTTAATCAATCACAATGTTTGAATTCAGACTTTTATTCAGAACTGTATAATATATATTTAGATCACAACAAGATTAAGAAAAAAATTGTAAATATTTTGTTCAGTATGCAGTAGGCACCATTGTATAAATTGTATTTAACTTTAACTAAGGGCTTTGTATTTCTCTTTTTTTAGCAAACCCAGCATTGGGAAAAACCAATGTTTCATCAAGGGGGAAAAACCAAAATTTAACTTGGCTATTACAGAATTTTTTCAAAGGGGGAAATTCAGGGGATTTTTAAAAATCAAAATTTTTAATTTTTAATTTTTTTTTTTTCTCTAATTTTAAACTTCTCCTATATCTTTAAGAAATTTTTTTCCCTAAACAATGTATTATTGTTTTGTGTGAAATTAAAAAAAAATGTTGGAAAACCCCCACACTCAAAACCCGTTTTAACCCGGAAAATACCAAGATAAGGGGCTTTTTAAACCCCTGGGGAAATTTTGTGGGGTAATTTAATGGAAAAAAAGTTTTAAAAAATGGAAAGAAAAAAAAGCAATGTTTTTTCTACTTTGGATCCCTGGTTTTCTGCAAATGTCTAGAAAAGGGAAATGCCCAAATTCTAAACTAGCCCCCAATGGGAATTCTTGGAAAAGAAACCAAAATTTTTAAGACAAAATTTTTAAACTTTTCCCGTTTTATTTTTGCCCCAACCCAAAAAGGGGGGGGGGGGGGATTTTAAAATTTACCTTGTCCGTCCCTTCCGTCCCTCCGTTCTCTTTAAAAAGGGGTCGCAAAAATAGCTCAAAAAATAAAAATTTAAACCCAGAGGGCAAAGAAAAACCCTTTCCCGGGGGAAAGGGTTTCTCAGCATGTGTAGTTTTTTTACTGGGAAAATTTTTTGTGTGGAAATTTTTTTGTATTTTTAAAGTAATTGCCCTTGACTTAGCAAAAATTTGCAATTTTCAACTTGTGTCACACGTAACTCAAAAAATATTTGACCTAGAGTCATGAAACCTTACAGGAATGTTGATCAGCATGTGTAGTTGTGCACCTGGGTATTTATGTGTGGATATATTTAATATTTTTAGAGTTATTATTCCCCGCCAAAAGGCGGCGGGGGATGTAGAAATAGTCTGTCCGTCCGTCAGACATTTTTGTCCGGAGCATATCTCAAAAAGTATTTGAAGTATCAACTTGAAACTTCGAAGGTGTATAGATCTCATTTAGGAGGAGTGCAGCGCACAAGAATGATAACTTTACCCTTATTATTAGTTATTGCCCTTGAATTAGTAAAAATTTACAATATTCAACTTGTGTTGCACGTAACTCAAAAAGTATTTGACCTGTAGTAGGCCTGAAAGTTAACAAGAATGTTGGTCAGCATGTGTACTTATGCACCTTGGGGTTTTCTTGTGGATTTATTCAGTATTTGTAGTATTTGCCCTTTACTTAATAAAAGATTTTTAGTTTTCAACTTGGGCACATGTAGCCAAAAAAAAAATTTGACCTAGAGACATAAGATTGACAAATCGGTGGAGTGTGAGTGCACCCGTGTCCTATGGACATATTTCTAGTGTTGTTGTTTTTGTTTTGTTTTTTTCATTCTCAACATTTGAAACCCTTGTGAACCTTTTTTTGAAGAAAAATGGTCATTTTGTTTGGGTTCCCCTTTGGAACTGCAAGATTACACATTATTATCACTAGTTCTAAAGTGTGCACTGATGAAAATTTCTAACATATTTATCTAATCTTGATCAAAATTTACTCTTGAAAAACTGTAAGTAATTTAATTAGATATTTTACTAGACGTATTCTCTGCTCTCAAAAACTTGCATATTGCTATCATAATTTTATGTTACTATAATATTACAGTATGACAGAGACAATATAGAAGATGTATGGGATGTTTATGGTACTGTATCATGTAAGGCGGAGTTAGAGGGTACCATGCCAACCGTTACCATGACAATATCACAACCAACAGAAGGGGAGGTCACTCCACTCAATAATCTGATTATTCATCCATGTGTTCAGAGTGCCGATGCTTATATATTGGAAGAAGGTTAGTATATTAAAGCCAGTCGGTTAAAGGGCAAGACTTGTAAGCTTGACATTAAGGGTTCGATTCCTGGGCTGGCCAACTAAAATTTCTAATCAGTCTTTTGGATGAGACTTTAAATCTAGGTCCTGTGTATGAGTGCTTAAACACTTGGCATGTCAAACAACCAGGGGAAGCTTCTGGAATTGGGGCATCTTTCTGTATCTGTATCTTGCACCATCCTCCAAAATAGAAAATGACTTCTGGTAATAGGTTTCACCAATATGGGCAACCGGTGGCGAGTATTTAATAAACTCAAATACACACACACAATAATTATGACATGGCCTTATCCCACCTAGAGGGGTGGCTTTAGTTGATATCTGATAGAGAACCAAATTTTAAATTTGTATGTTTTTTGTCTGATTTTCATGTGGGTAATTCTCTTTTTGTAAGACAAGATCTGTTCTATATGGCTACAATGTAGCTTTTGAAGATAAAAATCATATTTGTTAATTTGAAAATGTTTATAAAAATAGATCTACTGTAAGTTGTATGCATAACACATGTACCATACTAGTACTTAGAAAATAAAGTAGCCCACTGGATGTGCACGCAGTAACATTGTTTTATTCAAAATTGGACTTTTCCTGTCATGGATGTGTACAGTTTACATATGTTACCTTTAGGTAATCTGGATTTGCAGCAAGACAACATCCTGAATTGTAATGATTTCAGACTTTAACCAGTGCTATATGGCTAAAAACTTTCACTGTTAAGTATAACAGTTAAGGATAAATAGCTATTCCCATTCTGTCATGTATATGTATTAATTTTTACAGTATTTCAAAGTTTTGCCAAGTATAACAATAAGATATGTATTGCTTAAATTTTTAAATAAGATTTCAAAATATATTTGGTTTGAATTTTTGTATTGTTACATATGTTATATTTTAGGTAAAGACCGAGCTATACCAAGGAGAGTTAGATTTACCCCACCTCTAGAGATGATAACATTATGTCATTATCGAGTCAACCCTACAAGACAGCCACCAATCACTGGCAGCTTTGACCTATTTGTAAGTGGGTTGTCTACATATTTGGTCAATCTATTTTTAGCCACATTTTATGATAATTTAAGAATGAAACCAGTGTCAGTTCTAAGTGTTCTATTTACCTTTTTACTATATATTTTTTTCACCTTTTCACAATTATATATCTGGCGTTCTCTTGCCTGAATATCATACATGTATATCTTAAACCTGGTCCTGCTGAATGTGTAAAATGGATTTGCCCAGATTTGAATTTGGAACAGTCCATTTGGAAATGAAGGGATTTCAATATAATACATGTACATTTGTAAAACAAGGTTCACCACTTTCTGTTCCAGCAGGTCAAGTGTTAATACCATATTTAAGAAATACACTCTAAAAAAGTCTCTAATTTCATTTGGTTAATAATTGAAGAGATTATTGATTTCTATAAGGACAAAATTTTGTAGACATGTAGTTTAAATTATTAAGAATGTATCAGTCATGTATTATTTTATTCTTCATACAGGCAGATGAAGACAGGGTAAAGATCAAAGTTCATCTGAGATTGTCTGAAAATATAAAGAACTCCTTTGAATACTGTGAACTTCAGATCCCATTTGGTAAAAGGTAACATAAGAGAGGCTGGTTTCTTTGAATGACTGAGTCAATTTGATTTAGGAATTAAGCTGATGAGGTTATATTTTCGTGAATTTTATGTAAAATTTGACCAATTTTAAGCAGTTCTAAAAGATTTACTTAAATTTGTTTTCACAGATATTTTTATGTTTTGATTCGTTTTATTTTACTTGGGACACAATATATACACTTGGTGAGATTGTGAAATTATTTGACTGTAAATGTACCTTGGTATTCAGTTAAGTCTATAAAGATCTTACATCAGCTGCCAGCACAGACCAGAATTTACAGCTCAAGAGTAACTGTTTATAGTGGTAATAAGGCTGTTTCTGCAAGACATTACCTGAGAGCTTGATATTCCTGTCTGTGACAAAGCAGGTGTTTGTCCATTTTCTTGCATATTACAAATTTTAATGATATTCCGAAAAGAAATTACAAAAGCTGATATTTTCATTTGGCAGTTTTTTATGATAGCGCATGAAGTTACAGCTTCATTCATAATGGCAAAATAATGTCATCCAAAGAACACAATTCATTTAATAAAGGCCTATTGGAATGATGTCATTTAAAAATGTGATTGTCTTACATGAGGGTTGTAAGTCAGGTTTTTCTAGCACCAGTGTAAACAGTAGATAATCCTGTCTTATATGGAAGAAAACCTTGTTGTTTTCAGAGGTGCAGTAACTATCCAAGAGTCTTCTTTAAACCATGGTACCTTGCTTTTGTCACCTGACAAAAGTATTGTAGTATGGAATATTGGACAACGGTTCCCTGTAAAACAACTGGAGATTAGCATGTCTGCAAGTTTATTCCTGGGAAACAGTCAGACCAAAAATACCGGTTCCCTGGAGGAACAGTTTTGTACAGGTCAAAATGCTTATGCTCAGGTGAGCCTTTGATTTCATTGGTTTATCTCAATGGTTGTAATTTTGTGGTTTTAATATTATTTAAGTGTTCATGGTGATGATATAAATCTGTCTTCACTTAATTCTAATTTTACGAAAAAAAACTTTGATATTAATGAACATGACATTTCTAAAATAAACCTTTAATTCACAGACTTTTCTCAAACAGTGTGAGAAAATGTATCTAACATTGATTCAGCCTCACTGTAAGTGGCTAAATCTTGAGTTATAGTATTTAAGGCAATGAAAAAAAATTGTTTGTTGGCAATGTGCCTCCAGGTCTGTTCTGACTTTTATGAATATCAAGAAAAAAAAATTTCAAGGCCTAAATATATCATGTGTAGAAATTACATGATTTAATCAAGTCTGAGACACTGTCCTCAGAAATTGCCTATAAGAAGACAAAATATGGATAGTTTTCCTGAATAGATGTTAACTGGAATTCGGCAAATGTGGGTTTTTCCAAGCTGATACCCTGGTACAAACAAACTTTTACCACTATAGATTCATGGCGCACTCAGGTCACAATAGATTAGTCAACATGTTACGCTTATTTTTGAAGCTGTTACTGTAGAAGTTTGTTTGTATCCCCTGGATTAGCTTGGAAAAACTTAAAATATTTTTAATTCCTGAGTAAGCCTATTAGGGAATGAGTCAGATAACGGTGAGTAAATAAATGAATACATTCTGTCAAGTTTTGCATAGAACATACAAAATGCCATCCCAGTAATACAAAAAACTTACTTAAACTTATTATTATTATATTTTTCTTACGTTGGATTTTCTTTTTGATTTGCTTACCCAATTTTATAATATAGGCATGCTGCAAAGATGATTAATGTCCTGAACTTTGTTTATGTGCTGTGAAACCAAACAAACAAGCAAAGCTGGTTATTCATTTGCTTTATATTTTAACTTTTGTTATGAAACCTACTGATTTTTTTTCATGTTTATTGTAACCTATATTTTATTGTATTTCAGTTATTTTTCAAGATAGTAGATTTCACACAGTCTGGTTGTTTTATTGATGCCAAATCTATACAAGTGTCACCAGCAATGAAATATAAGCTGACCTGTGGTAAGTCAGGGATTAATAAATATTATACCATGGAGCTTTATATTACAATAAAATTATAATAAAAGTGTTTAGTGATATACAATGAGAAAATGTTGTGCATTAAGTGCGAAGGGAGAAAACTCCAGTTACAGATATTAACATACATAATGCCATATGGCATGTTTGTTCAAAAGCAGTTACTTCCCTTGTACTAAGATTTTCTGCCAAAATCATAATTTAACCCTTTCCCCCATGAGCATATCGTGAAAAATGGCCATTTTAACTGAAAAGCCTCCTCTTACAAGTTCAAACTGCTATGAAACTATGAAAACTGCTTCAATACTAATCAAACTTGGCATAAATGTTGTCTGGACCATTGCCTTTATAACAACATGCTCAGTCTTAAATTTTCTGTTACCATGGCAACGAGGGGACATAAAAAAATTACCAAAAATCACTATTTTGCGTTGATTTTTTCCTTCATATTGATTTTAAAGTGCTGCATTTCTCAATGGTTTCAGATAGAGTCAAAGGCTTTTTAGCGTTGGTTACACGTTACTTTAAGAACGACCTGGGGTCGTTTTTAGCCTCTCAGAAGTCCAACAATTTCTTGGCGATGAGGGTGACTACCAACCCCTTCAAACACCCCAAACAGAACGGGGCACATCCCCCTTCTGGCAACCCCCTGATGTATTATTTGGATGGGGGACGGCGCCAAAAAAAAGGTCACTTTTTTTAACAACATTTCTCAAACGAAAAACAGTGTTTGGGGTCTAAATAGGACATTTTTTCACTGTTTGAGGCCTCAAAAGGGGGGGGGGGGCAAAAAGCCGTCGAAACACGCTTATATAAGGGAAAAGGTTAAATAAATACTGTTAAGGTTTTGAAGACAATGTCTCTGGCTCAATTGTTGTCTGTTTCACAATGTACAAACTGTGTTTAAAATTTTCTGATTAGTACATGTACATGCAGTTAATTTATGTAAAGTTGGAATCAGTTTTGGTAGGAGAAGAGATGTTTCAAGAGTCACTTATTTTAAAATGCCCTTTACTGCTGTTGATTTGCATGAACTTTTTATTCTTTTATGTTGCGAATCTATCTTGCTTGAAGTCTGTTTATTCCTAAAATGAAACGTTTGGAGGTTTTTCTCGCTCCAAAAAGCTGGAAAAGTAATATAAAACTTGTAAGTCAGTGTGACTTACATGAAAAATATTTATTCTCTCCATGAAAAAATAGCAACTACATTTAGTTAGGCAGAAATTACCATAGCCTTCTGCATAGGAGACATTTAATTCATGTAAACATTGAAAATTTATTCTTTAATTTCAGTTCGAGAATTTCTATCATCTGAGTACAAGTTATGGAATGTCCATGGTGATAGTCTGGTTTCTGCAATTCCAAAATGTCTTAGTGATCATCAGACTGTAGAAACGTGACACAGTCTATTCTATTTATAGTATAGGCCATTTAAAGACTTCACTATTTAGAATTTTAAATAAAAGTGCAATATATTTTTATATGAAAATGAGTGCATGCTATGTTTTTAATTAGATGGAAATATGTATAAAGTCATCCTTTTGATGTACATGTTTATATGCTGCATTATAAAACTTATTATATTCCATTGTTATTGTTGATATTATAAAAGTATGTATATTTTATAATAAAGTTAAACAAAGATAAGAAATATTTTAAAAGTTTTTAGTCCACTTGCAGAATGCATACTTTTGTGTGATTTTCTCAGACAACAAACTGGAATATTTAGATCTATTAAAGGTTTTAGAAACTTCTATACATATTACCATGTTACAGTTTTAAAATAGCAAAATTCCATGCTATAATACACTGCTTATAATATATTGCCACCGTGTGTAAATGTTTGTATTGTTTATTTGCTATAAACATTGTATAATATTTCAGGCAATACAATTTAAGATTTGAAATTGGATATTGAACCAGTAAATTACAATGAATTTTCACTCTGTTACGGAAAACATGTTATTGATAATGTACAAAGGTTCATTGGCTCATAACAAAAATCATGACTTTCCAGCAATAACATGTACCTTTGAAGATGGGTGTGGTTCAAATAAATCATCAACATAGCTGCTGTTGAATATATTTACCATGCTCGAATATATTCCACATAAAATGAAATTATAGATCTGTATATTAAAGGGATTCACTGAGGTTTTATGACATGACTGGACTTGAATTTTTTTTTTGAGATTTGTGTACCAATTTATTTAAGTGCAAATTTTCAGATCATTTCTTTCTCCCGTTTTTACAAAATTGTACAAAGTGGTCCAAAAAAAAAAGCGTTGAAACGCTTTTCACTATATTCCTGCTAAGAATCGCACTTGAAGTCGATTTTTAGTATAATTGAGCCGCGCCATGACAAAACCAACATAATGGGTTTGCGACCAGCATGGATCCAGACCAGCCTGCGCATCTGCGCAGTCTGATCAGGATCCATGCTGTTCGCTTACCAACCCTTTTACAAGTAGAGAAACTGATAGCGAACAGCATGGATCCTGATCAGACTGCGCGGATGCGCAGGCTGGTCTGGATCCATGCTGGTCGCAAACCCATTATGTTGGTTTTGTCATGGCGCGGCTCATATCTTTTGTTATCCTTTGCAGATTTTTCCATTTCAAGTGATACACTTGATATTTACAAGAGTTTCAAATTTTAACAGATTGTCCAATATACATGTACAACAGATATTGAGTAATATCAATGATTACTAACCTTTGTTTTAGCTTTCTCCGGACATTTTAATTTATCGAATCTTTGTGCATTTCTTAGTAACAATAAAAAGTAATGAATTACCAAACCGCAATATGCTCGATCTCCAGTGTACGTAGAGCTAAATTTAATAAGGTTTATGAATGGCCTCGTAAATGTACTAATAGTGAAACACAGAAGCTGCTACAGTTACCTCCCTCTACTTGGCTGAATATCCAAATAACTAAGATTTGTTTTTTTTCTTTTATTTTTCATTGGCTTTTTTTGTTCAAATGGCATATAAAAATATCATTGAAAATATATACATATAATAAAATCTATTTGCAAGTACACCTATGAGAAAAAAATAACAAGCGTATATGTTATTTACATGTACATTAATTTTAACATGAATCTGGGACCGATTCGGCAGAGACACTGTATATTTATGATATGTCTGGATTTTAATTCATAAGAAATTATAATTTAGGAATTTTGATCACTCCAGCTCCCTTTGTTTTGTTTTTTTGTTTATAAAATTAAAAACAAAAGTACAAACGTAGGTCAGAGTGCCTGACCGTAGAACGGTCCCATCATTGTTTAATCTTACTGAAGAATATATATCTTTAAAATTCAACTTTGTCCCCATATCTGGGACTTCTAAATATATCTTTTGTAATAACTGCACAAAAATGACTGCAAGGATGTAAGCTACTTGTATAATTGATTATTCATTAAGATGAGATCCTATCTAAAAAGCTGATATTGAGTATTATCTTATTTGATATGGAATATATCTCATTTCAAATCATAGTAGTATAAACTCAGTCGTCCTCCTCCTCTAATCTTATTGTGTAAAGTTTGTTTTTCTTTGGATCAACGTAAATCGTGGTAGGGTAATATGGCTCTGTTATTCCTGCTGGACGCTTGGATATCATTGAAATAAGCAGCACTAGGAACCCGATGAACACGCATGCGCAACCCACAATGACACAGAACAAACTCCATGCGACCTCCCAATCATTCCTATTTACATTTATTCCATAGATAATTACTCCTGCAATTCCTGTGGCAGCTGAAAAAAGACAGAAATATTGTCAAAAGGGCCACAATAAAATCAGTGTCGCTCCCTTTTCTTTATACCACAGTCTCCAACTGCTTGGTTGATTTAAATAAATAATTCATTAACTTGATAGATATATGGTATGGCTGGTTTCTTCCATCCCTGACCATCCGGTGATATTATTTCCAGATACTGGTGTTTGAAAACATCTACATTTTTCGATGATGTCAGAAATCAAAACTACTAAAAATGTATCTTTGATGTTTACGTGAGTAGGATCAATTCTGGATGCAATACATATACTGATACCTAAAACACGATACAGATCAGAAAAGATGAACGGAATGTCGGTATACACCAGCGGATTTAATATGTGAAAAGAATGTCCCAACTCATGTTTACACTGATTTTGAGATATGAATGTACTAAAATATTTATCTTTCTTAACAAAGTTTTTTACAGATAAAAAATATTTCATGTAAGCATGCAATTAACTCTGTGACGAACGTCTTTATTAGCCAAACGGTATATTTAACTGGACTCCCTAAATGTTTAGCAAACCGCCGCTTGATTTTCCACATGGACGAATACAGTAACGGGGTAATCTTGAGAAAAATCTGGACACGCCAGGGTGATTTTTGTTTTGTTTATAAATATTATTAAAATAAGACATATTTACTTAGCTTCTAACTCTTTCGCCTGATACTTATACATGTATATTCACAAAACGTTACTTAAAAAGTCTTTCGACTCTTTTTTTTTTTTAAGTTTTTTTTTCCCACAGTGGTGTAACGTATGCATAGCGACCCTCTATAGAACAATAAACCCTTACAACAAACAGAATTATATCTTCCCTAAACTGAAATTAAACACTGGATTAAACCTCACAAAAAGCATCACCTCTCGAAAACGACCAAACTCTTTGCCTCCAAAGAGTTTTTGCTGCTGCAAAAGGTTGTACCGCATATATCAAGTCATATTATGGTTCTTAATTAAAATGTTGATTATGAAAGAAAATGTTTGAAGCAGACGACAGATTTAGCCATTTTACAAATTGAATATTGATTGCTACTATATAAAATAAAATTTTGTCTTGCAAAAATCTGAAATCAGAATTAATTATTCAGTAACGGACGCCAAACTGTGCATGTACATGCGCTCTGTTATTACGTTCATTATGCAATGTGCATATTAAGATAAAACATTTATTTAAAAACACGTAAAATTTAAATATTCGATTCTTCCAGAGAGAAGGCACATTCCACACATAGTTCCCATCATGCAACCGTAGTACATTTCCCCAGAGCTACATTACATGTATACCGGAGTTTATGACTATGGGGTAGGGACACAAAGATCACTGGCACAGCATTCCAAGGTCCTCGAGTAACGTGTAACCATACTGAAATAAGAAAATACACATTGTTTAAATTTTTAAATATTTCAATTTCAATTTTGATCAGATACAAATGGTATTGTTTTATTCTCCTCGAAATTCCAAAAATAGTATTGCTTTAAGCTGCACGACCCTAGAGTTAGGTTGAATTTTTTTTTTTTTTAAACTATCAAAATTTACAAATAATACATGGAATAAATCAAAGCAGCCCTGAAGTACATGTATATTTAATTTTTTTTTAGGTAAGATATCACCATTTTTTCTACCAATATTACTGACAAATTTAGGTCTTTTTTTGCATAAAAATGTCACGAACGAAAATAACTTTAATTTAAAAAACCTAACCACGACATAAAGGTATTTTTCAGTCTTTAATAAATAGCGCAAACATTATGTAAATGGTGCATATAAAGGAATATTGG